AGAGACATGTTTTCTCTTCAGCACTTGAAAGAGGTCTTTTGCAGCGGATTTGCCCAGTGCAATGCAATGTCTGATTTCTTGACTGATGCTTCCATTGCTGTTGATTGTAGAGCAAAGTAATATGAAATCTTTGACAACTTCAATCTGTTCTCCATTTAACATGATGCTGCTTATTGGTCCAGCTGTGAAGATTTTCATTTTCTTTATGTTGAAGTGTAATCCATACTGCAGACTGTAGTCTTTAATGTTCATCAGCAAGTGCTTCAAGTCATCTTCACTTTCAGCAAGCAAGGTTGTGTCATCTGTATACTGCATGTGATATCAATGATATTGTTCAATAATTTCCACATTCTGTGGGATCACTTTCCTTTGGAATGGGTACACATATGGATCTTTTCCACTCAGTTGGCCAGGAAGCTGTCTTCTAAATTTCTTGGCATAGACCAAGTAAGTGCCTCCAGTGTGGCATTTGTTTGCTGAAAACATCTCAGTGGGTATTCTGTCAATTCCTGGGGCCTTGTTTTTCACCAATTCCTTCAGTGCAGCTTCGACTTCTTTCAATACCATTGGTTCTTGATCATATGGCACCTCCTGAAAAAGATGAACGTTGACCAATTCTTTTTGGTACAGTGATTCTGTATATTCCTTCCATCTTCTTTTGATGCTTCCTGCATCATTCAGTACTTTGCCCATGGAATCTTTCAATATTGCAACTATGGCTTGATTTTCTCTTCAGTTCTTTTAGTTTGGCAAATGCCAAGCATGTCCTTTCCTTCTGGGTTTCTAATTCCAGGTTTTTGAACATTTCTTTAAAATAAATGACATTGTCTTCTCAAGCTGCTCTTTGAAATCTTCTGTTCAGCTCTTTTATCTTGTCATTTCTTCCATTTGCTTTAGCTACCATCCGTTCAAAAGCAAGTTTCAGAGACTCTTCTGATATTCATGTTGGTCTTCTCTTCCTTTCCTGTCTTTTTAATTGTCTTTTCCTTTCTTCACGGATGATTTTCTTGATGTCATCCCTCAATTCCTCTGTTTGTTGGTCACTACTGTTCAATGCATCAAATCTATTCTTTAGATGGTCTCTAAATTCAGGTGGGATATAACCCAGGTCATATTTTGGCTCACATGGTTTTAACTGTCTTCAGCTTCAACTTGAACTTGCATATGAGCAGTTGATGGTCTGTTCCATAGTCAGCTCCTGGCCTCATTTTGGCTGAAGACATTGAGCTTCTCCATCACTTCTTTTCACAGATATAGTTGACTTGATTCCTGTGTATTCCATCTGACAAAGTTCACATGTATAACCATTGTTTATGTTGTTGAAAAAAGGTATTTACAATGAGCCATTGGTCTTACAAAATTCTATCATGCGATCTCCAGCATCACTTTTATCATCAAGGCTGTCTGTATTTTCCAACTACCAGTGATTCTTCCTTGTTTCCAACTTTTGCATTCCAATCACCAGTAATAATCAACACATTTTGATCATGTTTGGTCAATTTCCGACCATAGAAGCTGGCAAAAATCTGTCTCCTCATCTTTGGCTTTGGTGGTTGGTGCATAAATTTGAATACTAGTATTAAGCAGTCTTCCTTGTAGGTATATGGATATTATCCTATCACTGACAGCATTGTACTTCAGGACAGATCTTGAAATATTTTGGGGGGATGATGAATGCTATACCATTCCTCTTCAATATGTCATTTCCAGTGCAGATCATATGGTTGTCATATGTCATATAGATGATATGGCTGTCTGATTCAAAATGGCCAAAACCAGTGCATTTCAGCTCACTGATGCCTAGGATATCGATCTTCACATGTTCCATTTCATTTCTGACAACTTCCAATTTTCCTAGATTCATACTTCATACATCTCATGTTCCGATTATTAATGTTTGTAGTTGTTTCTTCCCATCTGAATTATGCCACAAGAGCAAATGGAGGTCTTGAAAGCTTCATTTCATCCACATCATTAACGTCGACTCTACTTTGAGGAGGTAGCACTTCCCCAGTTGTATTTTGAGTACCTTCCAATATGAGGGGCTCATCTTCTGGAACTATAGCAGACCATGTTTTAGGGCTATTCATAAAGTTTCCAGTAGTATATCACACAGTGTTTCACTACTATTCATAAGGTTTTCACTGGCCAGTTCTTTGAGAAGTGGATGGCCCCTTCCTTCTTCTGAGTCTTAGCCTGGAAGCTCCGCTGAAACCTGTCCACCATGGGTGACCCTCGTGGTATCTGAATACTGGTTGCATAGTCTCCAGCTTCATAGCAACACATAAACCACCACAATACATCAGATTGACTAATGAGTATATACAGATACGTATATGGAAATATTGTCTGCCAAACTTATATATGGTAATGGGTATATTCCCTTTTCCCTACCTATACTTCATTATTTAGCCTATCTACTTATGTATCCATCCGTAGATTAATGCTTGCATCCTAAATGTTTTAAAATATACAATTCAGTGCCATTAATTCATTTACCATGTTAGGCAATCAACACCAGTATTTGCAAAGGTTTTTATCACCCTAAACAGAAATTTACACAATTACCCATTATCCCAGTCCCTGATAACCACTAAATGAACTTTGGTTTCTATGCATTTTCTTGTTCCAGGTATGTCATATAATTGGAACCCTGTTATTTCTCCTTTTGTGCCTGACTTATTTCACTTAGCATGCTTTCAAGGTTCATCCATGTTGTGGCATGCATCAGAACTTCATTTCTCTTTATGGCTGAGTAATAGTCCATTTTGTGTATATACATTTTGTTTATTCACTCATCTATTGTTGGACACTTCAGATGTTTCCATCTTTGGCTACTGTGATTAGCAACAATGAACACTGGTGCATATGAGTCTCTGCTTTCAAGTCTTTTTAGGATATACCTAGGAATGGAATTGCTGGGTCACATAGTAATAATATGTTTAACTTTCTGAGGAACCGCCAACCAGTTTTCCACATTCCCAGTATGCACAAGGGTGATATAATTTAATTCTGAGGCATTCATTTATCAAATATAAAGCTATTTAAATGGGAAAACCACTGGTTTATTAGCTCTGTGTTCATTTAATAGCCATTTGTCTTAATGCAATAATTTATTTGTAATTATGTTTTTCTAAGTATGTAATAAAAATAATTTGCAAAGCATAAGTCTAAAATAAAAAGTCATAAACATCAATTTCAGGAAATGAAGATTCTTAAATATTAACCATTATAAAGAGTTTTAAATTAATTGTTCATACCTGGTATACGACAGACAGGATTATCATCTCCATTTTTTTCCAAAACAAGATTAGTCAGGAAGTGCAATCCTATCATACATTGAAGTAAGTGATGGATACTATCTATACAATTACTATGTAGGTCAATATGTCTAAGCTTATGCTTAATTCCATGAAGGGGGATCAACCCTGCAACAGGAAAGAAAATTGTTTTGATACCACAGCAGTACTTTTTCCTACTGCTATTTAAAAATAAATGCTTTACAGGTTATATTTTGAGAAATGAAAGAGCTTGTTCTGAACAGTGATGAATGCATGAATACAGTTTCAGTAAAATTAATAAAAAAATGCAGGTTTAGCATCTGTTTGAAGCTTCATTCCCAGAGGTTCTGAGCTCTGTTTCTCTTCAAACAAAACAAACACCATGCCAATACATGCATTTGTATGAGAACATGCATAAACCAATGGCTTTAAGCTCTCTTAAGACATCATTATAGATTAAAAGTCATAAGCATCATTATCGATTAAAAGTCATAAGCAATTTTGTTGGTTTGAGCATAAAATAAATACAAATAGTACCCATTTGAATTAATTCTCTGATAGTATTTATTGCATGAGGTTATCTAAAAAATCTTCATCTCAGGAAGTAGATGTGTAGCTGATGCTATTGGTTCCTAGCCCCCCATTTCCTTGTCCCATGAACACTGCCAGTCTGATCCATGAGTCCTTGCAGTTTATCTCCTCTCTTGCCTCAGAACTTTCTTCAAAATGGAGGGAGCTCATTGAGTAAGGGTATAGCTTGGAAGTATGATGGAATTACAGCCTCTAGGGACTCTATTCAACCAAAGGGGAATTGTCAGTGTATGAATGGCCCATGCTCTCTTCTTTTGGAAGGACTATGCTGAGAAGCATCTATGCTATTCCTCCAAACTCAAACCCACCGCTATCGAGTTGATTCTGACTCAGAGCAATCCTGTAGGACAGAGTAGAATGCCCCATAGAGTTTCCAAGGCTGTTAATCTTTATGGAAGCACACTGCCTCCCTCATCTTTCTCCCGTAGAGTTGCTGGTGGGTTTGAATCGCTGACATTTTGGTCAGCAGCCAAATGCTTTAACCACAGTGCCATCAGAGCTCCTAAAGGATCTACTTTACAGTTTTGCTTAGTTTGGCACTTCCATCTATAAATTTAACTTTTCTCATCTTTTCTCAGTTCCTCTAATATACCTTACCTAAGTGAAATACCCTTCTTCCCTCACTGTTTGTTGCCTAGCTAATTTTATTCATCTTTTTGTCATATCTTCAAGAAAGTCACCTCTGATCACTTTGTGGTGGTGGTGGGCGTTGCTGAGTTGATTTTGACTCAAGGCAAACCCATATGACAGAAAACTGCCCCACAGAATTTACTAGGCTAGCATAGTGCCTAAGGCACTTGACTGCTAACCAGAAGGCTGGCGGTTCAAACCCACCAGCCACTCCTCGACTCCTCGGAAGCAAGTGTGGGTAATCTACTTCTGCAGTGATACCACCTCGAAAACCCAGGGAGGAGTCGCTATGAGTCGGGTCCGACTCGACGGCACATAACAACCACCACCTTTACAGGGACAGATTCTGTGGAGGGGCTGGATGGGTTCAAATCACCAACTGTTTGGTTAGCTGCCAAGCAGTTAACTGCTGTCCCACCAGGGCTTCTTGACCATTCTCTACAAGGTTGGATTCCCGTCATGCTTTGTCATAGTACTCAGCATTTCTCCTTAGTTACCCATTATATTTTTAAGTCCTTGTTCTACGTTTCCAGTTCTTCCTTTCATGCTTCAACTTCTCATTTTAGAGTACCATGGGGTTCATTCGTAGGCCACCTGCTCTATTTACATACTCTCCAAAATTTCCAACACCACTGATGTGCTGATAAACAACAGCCATATCTACAACTCCAACAATGACCAACTCCCCAAAAATACGGATTAGAAATATCCATATATATCAGAATCATCCCCATGGCACACAATAACAATACATACGCATATATACATATATGATAACCCTACTTTGATGTTCAGTCAAGTTCTTGATGATGGACAAACCAACCAGAATCCTTGAATCCTCCTGCCTTCATCTCTAAATCTACTCTTGCTCCAATCTTGTTCATGTCAGTACAATTATCTACCCTGTTATTCCAGAGAAAATTCAAGTTAGTTATCTTAGATTCTTTTCCCCATCCCCATTCATCACCAAGTCTTACAAACTTTACCTGTAAAACATATCTATTTACTTTAGTCGCAAGTCTTTACCCATCTCTCATCTAGACCACTGGAATACCATCCTAACTTGTCATCTGACTTCCATTTTTTCCCACCCATATTTCTGACTAAGCAACCAAAGTTATCTTTTAAAAATATAAGTTATATTATTACACCCCCTTGTTTTAAACCCTATTATGGCTTCCTATTGCAAAATAATAACTCCTTAACCCACTTAAGCAGCCCTATGATCTGGCCTCTGCCTACTTTTCCATCTCTTTTCTTAGCATACTAACCCCTCATTTGCTGTGTTCTAGCTATGCTAGCTTTTTCCCTGTTGCTTTATGCCAATCTTGATTCTGCCTTGGTGTTTGTGCACGCTGTTATCATGTAAGCTGTTATTTATTTATTGAGGTGTTTCTGAACATATGAAATAGTATCATTCTAAGAATTATCTATTAGATGTTACAAGGTTGCCTCATTTATTTCCTTCATAGTCCCTATCACTATCTCACGTGAAGTCAGGTTTATTTAAATTTCATTTACATACACTGAAATTCATCTTTTTTGGATGTAGAGTTCTAGGTGGTTAAACAAACTTCTATAACTGTGTAAACAACCAACACTACAAATGAGATACAAAACATGTCTATCACCCTTCAAAGTTCCATTGTACCCACTGTATTCTTTTCTCATTTCCAACCTCTGATTTGATTTCTGTTCCTTTAGCTTTGCCTTTGTCAGAATATCATGTGTCTGGCTCCTTTCACTTAGTACAATTTTTCCTTTTTTTACATTCATTTATGTTGCTGCATTCATCAATAGTTCATTCACTTTTATTGCCATGTAATACTGCATTATATGCAAGTATCTTAATTTGCATCAGGTTATGGATGTAAGGGGTGTTTCCAGTTTTTGGAGATTATGGAAAGTCATATAAAAACGACAATATAGAAAGTAACAATCAAGTAATACGCATGTACAGGTCTTTCTGTAAACATGTTTTCAATTCTTTTGGATAAATACCTAGGAGCTGAAAAGTACAAGGAGCCCTCATGGCCAGTGGATTAAGCATTTAGCTGCTAACTGAAAGGTTGGTGGTTCAAACTCACTAGCTGCTCCATGGGAGAAAAATGAGGCAGGTTGCTTCTGTAAAGATTTTATAGCTTTGGAAACCCTATGGGGCAGTTCTACTCTGTCCTATAGGGTAGCTATGAGTCAGAATTGACTCACTGGCAATGGGTTTGTTTTTTAGGTTTGAGATTGCACAGGTGTATGCTAAGTATATGTATAACATTATATGAAACTGTCAAAGTGTACTGCCAAGTAGTTGTACCTGTCTAAATTCTACCAGCAAAGTATCCAGGTTCTAGCTACTCTGAAATCTCACTAACGCACTGTTCTGTCAGTTTTAAAACTTTTATCTATTCTAGTAGGTATGAAAGGAGCTCTGATGGCATAGTGGATAAGGTATTTGACTGCTAACCAGGTCAGCGGTTCAAATCCACCAGGTGCCCTGTGGAAGGACGATGGGGCAATTTACTTTTGTAAAGATTTACAGCCTTGGAAACCCAACAGGGACTGCAATGAGTTGGAATCGACTTGATGGCAGGGAGTCTGAGTTTTTGTTTGAGTAGGTATGAAGGAGTACATCTTTATAGTTTTAATTGGCATTTCCTTAATGACTAAAGATGCCAAATATCTTTTCATGTGCTTATCCGCCATCTATATATCTTCTTGGTGAGGTGTCTGTCCAACTCATTTGCTCATTTTTTGGAGGTTAACATGATCTTACTTATTTACCTGCTGTTCTTCTTGACCAGAGTATAAACCTGTGAAAGCATGGATCTCACCTGCTTGCTGTTGCTATTTTCATCACTACTGAAGAGCGCTGAACACAATAATCTTCAAGTAAATATATGAAGAAATAAATTAACTAACTAACCCAATATTCACATTTTTCAGATAAGGAAACTACATCCCAAGAGTCTAATGCCCTGCCCAACATCATATAGCAGTGACAAAGCTTGGGTTAAAACGAAATCCTAATACTTTCAAGCTCTGGGGTGGAGAAAAAAAAAACAGAATTTGGAAACTATTTTTGGTACTTTAGCTTAAGAGTAGGGACTAGCTCTCTTTCTGCATGCTAGGCACATGGCTCAGGGTAGTGTTTTTCTAGTGTGCGATAAAAACAAGTATAAGATTACTTCAAATATAGGTGACAATTACAAAAATAATTAGAGAACCCTTTGCTAGTTCTAACAGATATACTTAACAGAATATTCTAAGAATATTCATCAAGTTTTGTTCACTTTATCAGTTGCATCATTTCAATAAATTTAAAAATATATACACAATTTCTGAAATTTGTAGACATGCTATAAATAAAAAGTAACTTTACTGGATCCTTATTTTACAAGTCTTTGGAATGCTGTATACCTGCACTGTTCAATATGGTAGCCACCAACAACATACATTATTAAAATGAAAAATTCAGCCCTTCTGTTCTAACAGCCACATCTCAAGAGCTCAATACATACATTTGGCTAGTGGCTGCAGTACTGCATAGTACACATAGTGCATTTTATCACTATAGATAATTCTACTGGAACTACTGGTTTCTATATAACACTATATTGATTAATTATCTCAGGTGAAACATTATTCTCCAAAAGTAGGTCCTTCTCACTTGGTTTTATCTGCTACTCATAACTACTGTCTTTATTTTTCCAGCTTGGCTTTGGCACCAATAAAAAAGAATTTTGACTGAAAATACTCTCTAGATGGTATCTTTGATCAAAAATCCTATTATTATTCAGAGTTTTCCAAGATGCTGAACTGAGTCTAACTCATATATGTGCTATTTAGCATTAGAGAGAATATAAGCATATCTACTTACCACTAAGATCATTTATCTGGTTATAGGATAAATTCAGTTTAGTCAGATTAATTAGTTCTTCAAGTCCTAAAACAAAACAAAACCTTTAGGATTTCAGGAATTAATTACAGAGAGATATAGTATTACAATATTACTTCAATTGTTTTGAAGCAAATCCAACTTCATTGGAATTTTGAAAAATAACTTCAAACAACACTTTTTCTGGAAGGACACTTTTCTATGTAATGAATTATAGGGTCAGATTTCAAAAATTATACTTATTCCATTGTTTTGGGAAGATAAATGACTTAAAACTGTCTTATGCAAAGTATTACATGAAAATCACTTACCTTCTATCCTTGTGATCAAATTGCAGGACAAATTCAAAGTGCATAAATTTGTCAATGTGCTTAGCCCTTCTATTTGACTAATTTGATTAGATGACAGATCTAAATGTTGTAAATTCCAAATATGATCAATGGCTTTGATTTTGGAGATATTATTGCAGTGAAGATTGATGGTATGAAGGGTTGAATCTAAAGATAACTCTGATAAACTACAAAAGAAAATACATATTATTAAAAACAAGTTAAAAAGTGGCAAAATCATGACCAAATAATTAAAATTGGCCAAACAGCATGTAGACAGCATGTACTGACTTTTCATTCGAGTATAAACTCCTCACTCTTTATGGTAGCCATGAAATAGTAGATACATATATCATATGAACTAGCGTTTCAGACAATTTATATAAATAAGAAACTCACCTAAATGAGGCAAGTGACCTCTGGCATTTCTAGCTTCTACCACAAAGTCATGAGCTATATGAAGGTAGCCCTGTATAGTAAATAGTTATAAAGGCTTTGCAATCACAATGTCCCAGTTCACATCTGCATCCCCCACTTCCATGCTGTGAGGAGCCCCGCTGAAACAGTGGTTAAAGAGCTCTGCTGCTAACTGAAGGTCAGCAGTGTGAAACAACAGCTGCTCCATGGGAGGAAAGCTGTGGCAGTCTGCTTCCATAAAGATCTGTTGTTAGGTGCCGTCGAGTCAGCGCCGACTCATAGTGACCCCATGTGCAACAGAAGGAAACACTGCCCGGTCCTGTGCCATCCTCCCAATCTTTGCTACGCTTGAGCGCATCGTCACAGCCACTGACATCATAGCCATTGACAGATGGTGTCAATCCATCTCTTTGAGGGTCTTCTCCTTTTTCACTGACCCTCTACTTTACCAAGCATGGTATCCTTCTCCACAGACTGTTTTTTTCCAACAACATGACCAAAGTACATGAGATGAAATCTGGCCCTTCTTGCTTGTAAGAAGCATTCTGGCTGTTCTTCCAAGACTTACTTGTTTGTTATGACAGTTCATAGTATTTTCAATATTCTTCACCAAGACCAACATTCAAATACATCAATTCTCCCACCTTCCATATTCATTGTCACGCTTTCAGATTTAAAGATTTACAGCCTTGGAAAGCCTATGGGGCTGTTCTACTCTGTCTTATAAGGTCACTATGAGTAAGAATCAACTTGATGGCAGGGGGTTTTATGCTGTATTACTTGAGCAAATGACTTAACCTCTCTGAGAGCTTTCTTATCTCATGCTCACATCTGCATCTCACCTACTTCATCTCATTTTACAAATGTGAATAAAGTTGATGGAAATTAAGCAACTTGTTCAAGTTCTTATAGTTACGTGACAGAGCCCAGGTATACATCCAGATCGCAGGTTATAACCTTTCTTTCTTCATTATCAATAAATGGCTATTTAATCTCAGATGTGATTGAACTCAAAATAAATTATTATTTCTAAAGAAATAGTTCTGTCCTCCCTTGTTGGAATTTGGAATGTACTTCCTCTAAATAGAACCCCTCCCTTCACTCCCACGGGGCAATCTACTTCCATAGTGATACAGCCTCGGAAACCCAAGGAGGGGTCGCTGTGAGTCGGGTACGACTCGATGGCACATAACAACAACAACAACTTCACTACCACAACCTCTCTGGAAGATAGTTCCAGAAACAGGAACTACAGTGCACATAGTTCAGATCTGCTGAATGGATGAATAGAAGGTACAGTCAGGAATGGGGGCACACAACGTCATGGCATCTCTCGGAGGTACCGTTGCAACTGTCAAGTAGATCTGGACTCATGTATGTAAAGTGGAACTGCTACGTAGGATTTTCAAGGTTGTGACCTTTTAGAAACAGATCACCAGCTCTGTCTTCCCAGGTGCCTGTGAACAGGTCTGAACCACCAACCATTCAGCTAACAGTTAATCCCTTAATTGTTTATGTCACCCAGGGACTCCATAGATACTCTAGCAGCTACCAGAAAGCCATTGTTGTTACTGTTGTTATATGTTGTCCAGCTGGACCCGGACCCGACTCACAGTGATCCCTCCTTGGATTTCCGAGGCAGTATCACTACGGAAGTAGATTGCCCCATCTTCCTTCCAGGGAGTGGCTGGTGGTTTCAACCGCCAGCCTTCTGGTTAGCAGTCAAGTGCCTTAGGCACTATGCTACCAGAGCTCCATAAAGCTGTTGTTGTTATGTGCCATCAAGTCAGCCCCGACTCATAGCGACCCCTCCTTGGGTTTCCAAGGCAGTATCACTACGGAAGTAGGATTGCCCAACCTTCCTTCTGAGGAGTGACTGGTGGGTTTGAACCGCCAGCCGTCTGGTTAGCAGGCAAGTGTCTTAGCCACTATGCTACCAGAACTCCTAGGAAAGTTAATCCTGGCAGCAGAGAAGTGAGAAGTCTAGCAGTGAGGATTTGATGGTAGGGATTTACAAGGCATTCCATGTTTGTTTCTAAGACAGCGTAAAAACCTCAAATAGTAATACACTTAACATGTGCCATAGGTTATTCAGCTAGCTCTTTCCTTGGTGTTCAGTTTGTAGCAAATAAGTCCCTGGGAGGAAAAAAAGTAAAACATTTCCAAATTTCAAACTAGCAATCTCTACTTGTGACTAAAGCATTTTTCAACTACCTAGCTTGCTGCTCTGGTAGCATAGTGCCTCAGGCATTTGACTGCTAACCAGAGGCTGGCAGTTCAAACCCATCAGCAACTGCTTGGAAGGAAGATTGGGCAGTCTACTTCTGTAGTGATACTGCCTCCGAAACCAAAGAAGGGGTCGCTATGAGTCGGATCAGACTCAACAGCAATGAGTTTGGTTTGGTTTGATCTTGCAGCCATGTACCGAGCTCTTGGTTGAGTGCTCAGCTGCTAACTGAAAGGCTGGTACCCAACAAAGGCTTGGTGTTCTACTTCTGAAAAATCAGACACTGAAAACCCAATGTAGCACAGTTCTACTCTGAAACCCATAGGGTCTCCGTAAGTCCAAATCAGCTGGACTACAACTGGTTTTTCAGCTTATTTAGTACCAGATCTTGTGCTACTAATGCATGCTCTCAATGACAATCATTTATTTTCTGATGTTTCTATTCCTGGACATTAATACTGTCCAGATAATATGGGTTAGCAGAAAAACAGACTTTGAAATTAGACAGAAATAGGTTTGAATCTAAACTTAATCAGTTACCAGTTGTACGAAGTCAGACAAGTTTTTTGAGTCTCAAGTTTTATCACTTGTAAAATGAGAAAAATGACTACCTTGCAGAATTGCTCTGAAGATTAGAGGTAGACCCCCTTTGCCCCCAAAAACCAAACCCACTACCATCCAGCCGATTCAGACTAATAACGACCCCATTGGGTTTCCGAGGCTTAAGTCTTTACAGAAGTAGACTGCCCAGTCTTGCTTCCACAGAGTGGCTGGTGGGTTTAAACCAGCAACCTTCTAGTTAGCAGTCAAATACTGGCACTGTGCTACCAGAGCTCCCAAGATTAGAGGTAACGTATATAATACACATCCATAGATTGCATACAGTAAACGTAAACTATTGTTATTAGTAAATATAAATATTCTTTTTTAAAAAACCTTTCTGAGGTCCCATGGCAAATTTTATATCAGCAACAGGACAAGATGCTGATTATCAGCAGTATGGTTCCCATTGATGAGGGCACTCCAAAAAACCACCGTAGTGCAAAGGCACAAAGCTGTTCATGGATCTTCCTGTAGCTAAGGCTGGCCACAAAGTATAACTGGAGAAATGAGACTGGAGAGGTAGGCAGGGGCCAATTTGTAAGGCAAAACCAAAACTTGTACGGTATGCACAAGTTCAGGATGCACGATCGAGAGGAACGGTGAACTACGTAAACATGTTTACTACTTTAGAAATATACGGATTCATGGATTATAGTGCTCTGGAGAGGGGGAATCGGGGATAAAGAGAATTGGGACAGAACCAGTGAAGGCTAGAGAGCCCTGCTTCACGGCTGCCAGAAGTACTACATTGCCACGTTGTCAGAGGAAGAGGAACGGAGAAAAGGCGAGACAGAACTCGGGAACACCAGCAATCAAAGAGCAAACAAAAGCGCCTGTTAAAAGAATGAAAGAAAAACACTAACAAAAGAGGAGAGGAGTAATCACTGGTTGGTGGAGAATGTCGTGAGGCAGTTTCAAGGCCAGGCAAAGTCAAGTGAGACGCTGGACTGAAGTCAAAGGCGGGAAGGAAAGGAGAGCTCGTTTGACTCTGCACTTAGGCAAAG